TTAAAAGTATACCTTTTACATGTATGCAGAACACCAAAATATCATTGGTCTGCTTGTCTGAAAGCAAATTTTTGCTTGCTTCACCTTCACTTGGTGTAAAATTTACATCATTATTATTTTTTCAAGTATGCACCACCATTGGTGCTGAAAACACATTATTTTATAGCCATGTTTAAATGATCTGCTCCCCCAAACTAAATTTGGAATGAATTCAAAGCTATAAGAATCTGATCTCCAAATATCAATACATGTGAATGAGAGACGAGATATTCATCAAAACACCCAAAGGTCTATTCTTTGTGACACTGGTTCAGAATTACAACTCAAAAGTAATTTTTCCAATTATTCCTACAAAGGTTTGTATATAGCTGCTACCTTAAATGAATTAAAAGGAGGCTTTGTCAGCCCAAGCCATACTGGACAAGGGGAATTAAACAATATAATAATGTATCTGTATCCAAACATGAAAAATTTACAAATTACCCATGTGACAAAACAAAACATGTACTGGCAAATACAAAAACAAGTTTCTCAACCTGGCATGGTCACCCATTGTACTCATTCTGGCAAAATACTTACTTCTGATAACACATTTGCCTGCAATATTTTGAACTCCACTGACTGTTGGTTACTCAATGCTGACTTCCAAGTTTCACTCTGTAATGTTATTGCAACTGTCTTTATTTGACAATCATTACCTACAGTATGAAAAAGACAATAAAAGAAGTACAAAAAAATCCTACTTTTTCTACTTTATTCTCACAATCAAATCAAATCCATTGCTTTATGTTTCATTTTCGAAAAATTTTAGTCAGATCTTGAAATGCACGCAGGTTATTGGGAAGTACTTTTGTCAAGAAATCAATTAACTATAAAGTTGTCGTGATCTTCCTAAGGCTTGAATTAAATAAAAAAACTTTACAAAGAAAAGAAGCACCATGCAGGATATCCAATTTCAGCCAGTCAGCTTTGTCTCCGCTTGAGTCTGAAAGCAGTAGTTTTCAAAAATACAGTGTAGAAAAGTTCCTTTTATCGTGAAACTAAGCCACAGATACACATACATTTAAACTACACTTGCCAGTCAACTGGTGATTGTTCACATGTAGGAAAATGTTTCAAGCACAGAAATGCCTTTGCTCAAAATTCATCATTGAACCAATCATTTTAAACAAGACTTGGCACCCAAATAAAAAATAAGGTCAATTTTGAGCACAAATACTAAAACAAGGAATGACCTGAAACCACCTAAATTACCACCTACAACCACCTAAAACCATGTAAAACCACTTGCAACCACCTTTAGAACACTATTGTGACAATTTGTGACAATTTTGTTGACAAATTTCAATGTAAATGCACACTGGATATGTTGTCGCATGTCTCGCATGTCATGACCAGGGAAAAACACGAAGAGAATTGTTTACACAGGAGCAGCACCTGAAGAGCCTTGACGTTTTTCGAGCAATAGATAGACTACGTTTCCAAGGTCAGTGTTTTCAAGGTCTGAGTTTTCGAGGTCCACATTTATAAGCTACACGTATCTCGCGAGATTTGCAAGTTCCGGTTATCACAGCTGTTACATTGTTTAAACTGTCACTGTTATTTTCCCATTTCCTGTTCTCAGCTAGTCAATTAAGTTTGTTTTCTGTGAATAATTGTATCTCATTTTAAACTGTTTTATTTCCTTTGTTGTACGCTCACTATGCAGCCCAATTTAAAACAATTTAAAATGGTTATGGCTGCTTGAATATTGATTTCTGAGCAAAGGGCAAAATGTTACATTATGCAACCTCATCAAATTTCCTGCTACTGGGGGTCCTGCTTGGTGTCCAGTTGACCTCAAAGCTGACGGTGAAAATGCAGACCTCGAAAACTCAGACCTTGAAAACACTGACCTCGAAAACGTAATCTATCTATTACTCGAAAAACCTCAAGGCTCTTGGTGCTGCTCCTGTGTAAAAAATTCTCTTTGTGTTTTTCCCTGATCATGACATGCGAGACATCCAACAACATTTTCAGCGTGCATTTACATTGAAATTTGTCAACAAAATTGTCACAA